AACTACCAGTTTTTGAGATGACCTCTAACCCATCGCAAGTAGTTGGATAGTTCGGTAGCTTTTTGAAGAAAAATATATTCTCAGCCGTGCTCTAGTGGTCTTGCAAGGGACACTGGTCTGAATTTGTTTTTCTTTTCTGAAGAAAACCACTTATTCTTTTCGTGAGACAAGAAGAAGAGCCCTATTAGCTTCCATTTTGAGATTTATGCTCCCCTTTTAAGCAAACGTACACGGTCAAAGTTTCTGAAGGGAAGCCTTGGGACTGTTACGGAATTTACTTGTTACCTTTTGCCGTCTTCCTCCAGCCGAAAAATGCGCACATTTATGCACCCGGGGAAAGTTTTAACTTTTAAGCTGACATGAAGGGTTTTGTTTATAATGAGGAGGAACTTCGTGCGCGCGCCCTTCCGCTTTTTTCACAGTCTTGTTATCATGAGTTTTCCGAGTTCCTGGAGGAAGATTATGTGTTTTCTTGGCAGATTGGACTTAGCCTCCCGACAAGATCTTTCCTTCTTTCACAATTAAGATTTTGTCTTCCTTCATTTTCTTCGTGTTCTTATATGTCTTGTCTTAGACAAGGGGCTGTTATTGTGGAGAACGAATGTGATAGAGTCTCTTCCTGCTAACCAGCAAGGGGTAAAGACAGTCTAGGCATAGGTTCGCAGGGTCTGATAAGCAGGCGGGGGCCCAGTGTGACGTTCGGTGAGTCCCTCTACAGCCTCAAGCATCTTTTAACTCCTGGCCTCTAGCTCTGCTGTCTGCAAGGTTAACGTCGTGACCGGCACGCAGGGGAATACTTGTGACGATGAACCATTAGTAGTATTCAGTATGGCATTTTTAGAAAAAAGCGCAAGGCTTTTTAAAGCTTTATAGATGCAAGGAAGAGTAGTAATGGTGCATGGGTGCTCACGCGTCCCGTTGTGTCAGCAGCCGTGCAGCGGCTAGTGATATAAGCAGTAATGGTCATGCCAGTCTCCCTTGTTTTTGACGGAAATGTCATT